GACTTCTCTATTACGGTGCCCCTTTACCCAGCCCTCATTCCCAGACACTCTGGCTGCTCAGGACAGGAGCTTCTTCAGGGGGCAGACTCAATGAAGGGGAAAAGGCAAGGCTGGATTTAGGAAGAGTTTCAGAATACTTACCCCTTTCTCCCACTGTGGACACCTAAGATGATAAACACTCTTTTCTCCAGGCTTACTGGCTGGCGTTACATTCAGGCTTGCCAGCTACACATCAACTACAGCCCAGACTTCTTTGGAGACCCTTGCTGTGCAGCCAGAAATGGTGTTTCCTCTTTCTGCAGCTGGAGACCAACACTCATCTGGGCAAGACCAGGGAAAGCCAACCAAGAGCACTAGTAAAGCCACCAGTCTGAGCCAGTGCTGCTCAGAAAGGAACCAGACTGAGACCTGCTGAAGGAGCAGACTCTTTCATTAACCACATGTATAGGAAAGCCCCAAGCAAACCCATTCACGAGTAACCAGCACCATAGGACATATGGCAAAGATCCCAGAGAGCTCTCTCCTGGTTTGAAAGCTTGGGGCATCCCACTCTGCTAAGTTTCCATATAGGGCAGAGATGTAAATTGCTGTCTGCTGGGTGCCACGAAGTTACACTGCTCCTCTTTACCCTTCTAGGGTCTACAAGGAACTCTGTTCTTCACCAGCAGTTGGGCTGGGCATTGCAACACAGCAGTCAGAGGAGGTCATTGCTCGAGGTATGAGAGCTGGGGAAAAACATCTGTGTGTCCAGATTAATTTCCATGTAGTGGTTTACCTGGACTTGTTATATGTTTATATATCTCTAAAGGGTGAAGAGGTCCAAGGAACAGCAAAGGAAGGGTGGGGACCCCAAATAGTCTGCAAAACACAAGGGGCTGTGGCAGGGAGCCTTTCTTTGTTGCATACAGGCTGTTAAAACAGTTGGAGTAGATAAATGTCAGCTCCTGTAGAGATGACAGTATCAGTGTGCCCAAGTACTGATATCCCTCCAGCTTATTCCCCATGAATTCAAGCCCACCTCATGCCACAATATCATGTTCTGCAGAGGACATACACCTCCCACCACCCCAGTAAAGTACCATTTCCTGGTATCATAAAAGACGCCTTTGAACAAGTTTGTGTAAGTTCTATATGTTTCTGTAGATTCAGATGGAGAAATAGTGACCAGAAAACATCACAGGCCAAAGTCAAGATAGATATATGCTAAGATATTATGTGAAAGTTTCCCAGGGCCTGACAGTCTTTGGAAATAAGTAATTCTGACGAATTTGCAAGAAATTATCAACTTAGACCACCAGGGTTTAATGGTGTACAAGGCTGTCAGTACACATTAGCATCTGCAACGGGTTGTATAACTCGGATCACACCCAGGAGGGCAGTGGCTGCTCTATGCAGATTAAGAATACGGAGTTATGTATACAGGTGGTGAAACAAAGTGCCTTCTGAAGGAATTTCTAAAGACCTACCTAGAAAGCAGTGGTGCATCAGGATGACCTGCTTCCGAGTGTGCACATTGGGGTTGGCCTTCTAACGGCTGCTCCAGCTAGTGAGCAAACGTGAATGACTGGTGTGTTTTTACTAATAACACCTTGATTCTATTAACAACAGCAGCTAATGAATAAAAGATATTTTAAGAAATAGCAGTTGTAAACTGTGTTTTCCCTGAACAGTATTCTGTGAAAAGGAAAAAGGAATTTATTCCACTTGTTTGGGAAAAACATGCTAAAGACAGCACACTACTCATACTTCTTCATGGTGGCACCTGCAGACCCAGCTAGGACAGCCATGAAACGGTTTGTGGAAAGCCCCTCCTTCTGAAACGTGCTATAGGAAATTCAGTCAAATTCAGCTCTGGGGAGGTACTTGACAGGAACTATGTGCGTGTTTGTAAGGGCAAGATCTGTTCAAAGGGAGAAGGTCCTATGTAAGAGCCAGATAAGTGCTTTCTGCTCCACCACCTACACATTATCTCCTGTGCATGCTTCAGTGGATGGCTGGGGTCCACGAACTGGCAGACCCAACTCTGCCACTTGGTCACTTTACAGACATGGGGCATTGCTCAAGTCTGCTGTTTTATTGAAGCATCACCATAGGTAATGCCTTGTGGCTGCCACAGATGTACAGAGATGCAAACTCAGGACTTCTAATGCAGAAAAGTAGCAAGTGTTGCAAATAAATGAGACCCACGACATTTTATCTTGTAAGCCTCCCCCTTAATCTGCCTCCAGGTAACCTGCATTTCCATCTCTCCAGGGCTGTCAAGTTTGTACCTCCTATTAAGGAACAGCCAGATTTCTCCATCTATAAAAAGAATGTGAGGTTGTTTTAGTAACTATTGCAACAAAACTAGCTTTATTGAGTCAGACCAAAAGTATCCTCTGACTAACCACAGCCAGCAACAGCTGCTTTGAGCCCTATAGAACAACAGTCAGATTATATCTGGACCTCTATTTTTAATACTACCAACAACCTCACTCTTCCATGGAAGTGCTGAAAGGTTTGAGCAGATCACACAATCTTGCAGCTCCTACCCTGGAGAGAGTTTATAACCCAAGATGCAAAACCCCCATATACAGATGCAGGCACAGAGCTGCCTTGCAAGAGGCAGCCCAGAGCATTTGCAGCAAAGCTGAGAATCAAATGCAATCTCTTGCCATTAGGTTGCATTTTCAAAACTATCTGTCCTAAACATGACAGGAATGATTAAACTAAAGAAACAAAGGCTTTTGACAGACGATTTTCTAGTGTTGTTTCAGCTTGATCACTGAAATTCCTCATGCACACCTGACCTCTGTGTGTGCATGAGCACGGCACTTACACATGCCCAGATGAAACACTATTCAGCCAAAACTTCCTGTTTGATGAGCATATTCCTATTGTCTCCAGTATCTCCTTTGATACCAGCACACTGATACCAGCAACATCATAAGATAAGGAGCAGAGCTTTTCCAGTGCTTCTCCCCCCCATACCCTCCCCCTCTCATTGTCCTCACTGATGAGGTCCTGGCTTTGAGAGCTTTCTGGGTACAGGCAGCCAGAGCCGGCACTCCCGGCAAGCTGCGGTCAGCAAACATTTGCAATCAGCAGCTGACTTCCTGCTGTCACCTGCCTGCACAGGCAGACAACGAAACGCTTTGCTTTTGTGCCCGGCTCCACACTTTGAGGGCAAAAGAAGGTCCCTCAAGCTGTGGGACCTTCTGAACCCCCACATTGCCTACTGGTGTTGGATTTGATTAGTGCTCAAGTAAAAGAAGCCAAATTGGGTGATCGAGGAATGGGGGAAAGTGAGCTGGCTCAGCTATGCTTTAATGATATTAGTCATGAATTTTTACTCAATGGTCTCAAAGCTTGCTTTCCTTTTTTCCTCTTTTCTCTTTCATCTGCATGAAACACGGATGATATCAGTCCTGCTGAGATAGTCCTGAAAACTTTGCTTAGCTTTGATACTTCCACCTCTACCTCAGACTTCAAGGAAAGCCTGTGGAGTGTCAGCACCTGTTGAGCTAAAGGAACTCCTTTAGCTCTGAACCAGTGTCAAAGCACTGTCAAATCCCCACACTTCAAGAAGAAACCTTCCTACTTCAGAAAGCAACACGCCTTTACTTCTGTGCACCAGCAAGTAGGGTGACTGATTTCATGGCTCCAGTGCCCTCTAAAGCTTTCAAACTGCTGCTACCAGCAACCCAAACAGATGCCACCTCTTGTGGCATTTAAAAAGCCTTAGGGTATCAAGTGAGAGTTCTCCAAGTCTGTATTGTCAGATGTGCCAGAGAGGAGCCAACAAGAACCTTAAGATTAAATCCCATCACTTTAGGACTTGAATGACTTACAGTGCAGATGGAGTGGGCGAGGGAATGTGTATGAGGTAATTTATACACCTACTCAAGTTAAATTCCAGTGGCATCCATTCCCTCCCCTCAGAGAAGTGTCTCTGGTCTGGCTCTGTATGCAACAAGATGAACATATCAACTTCTCCATCAAAGAGGTAGAAATTTACAATTCCCCTTTCCCTCAGTTAGACTCACGAAGATTAAAAAAATATGCTTTTTTTAACCTTATGTATAAAACATGAACTGTACAAGACGTTTGGATGCTTATTCCCACTTTGCCACTAATCAGCTAAGCAACCTCAGTCATGTCTTCTTCTTTCTTCACAAGAAGGACTAATCCCCATCACACTGAGTCTTATGCAACAAACCCCTGCTGCAGCCTGTGATACTGCTGCATCCATTAAAGGAAAAACTGGACCTATCCCAGATGACCAGAGGCTTGGCAAAGCAGTTGGTTTTGAACCATCCCACAGCCTATTTGATTCTACATTCTTCCTTAAGGTCTTTTTGAAGATGAAGAAAAAAGTAAATTTCAGACCAAAAAAGCCTTTAAAAATTTCACAACATGTAATAAAAAGGTTTGCAACTGGTTTATTTGCTTAGTGATGAAACAACAGAGGATATAGCCACTGGAAGCCTTTCAGCTAGGATCTGCTTTTTGATATCAGAGGAGATATGATAGCTGTTCAGATCTAGTAGGAGTCCCTATGGACACTGTTTGAAGATCAAACATCTGTAATTTTCCCTCAGACAGGACATCCTGTCAACCACTGCAGGGACATGGTCACACTAAAAAAAAGTGCCAGATTTTCTGTTTGTCTGCAAGCACCAGAGAGTTTCTGAATCTTTGGCTGACCACAGAAACATGAGAACAGTAAACTTTAGATAAGACTGATGCCAGGCAAAGGACTGGTCGATGCACAACCCATACTCACTGACATGTGAGGAGCAAGGGGTTACTTAAGTGAAATGTCCTGACCAGGCACTGCCAGCACACAAACACCCCCTAAGGCTGACATCACCCAACCAAGATAACAGCTCAGGGACAGACCTCATCAAAGGATGGCCTCAGTCTCCAGCACCTCAGATGACACTTCTGAGACTCTGACCCTCCACTCCATTATTTGTGAGGTCATCAGCTGAGAAATATTCCTGACTTGGCCAAAGGGATCCCACAGCAGACCTGCTCTGGCATTGGGAAGAGCCTTCAAATCAACTATTAAGATGTTCAGAGACCTGAAAAACAAAGCTTTCCTATGCCTCTAGAAGAGGGTACAAAGGTACTTAAAATAGCAACCATGTCCCCAGAACTAATTCATAAGACCTTGATGATATCCCAGCAGTGAGCAGAAAAATGTCACATGGGAGGTCAGGCTGCCATGTCATCATCAGAAGAGAGACTTTCACAAGCCTTCATTACATGTAAGGTCATGGACAAGGGCACTGCTTTCCTCAACAGCAGGGCACTCTAAACTGTCAGAAACACAGGCTCTGGAGCCTCAAGGTTGCTTCAGGTTCCCAGTATCAGAGCCAAAATCTTCCCTTTACTACCCAGAACATACCTAATTACAGGAAAGGGACAGACACAACAGAGAAGTAAAAAAGATAAGTCTCTATTCAACAAAGTATGCTTTCCTCCCCAAGAGGAGACCATGCACTACTTTGCTCCCCATCCTCTACACAGTACCAGTTATAATAAGCGGTTTCCCTCTGCTTCCCCTTTTCTCTAGCAGCTGCTTTACCAGCCTTAAACAATGGCCTAAACCGCAAGCAGAATTTCTGAGGCTTAATCTCTAAACCTGCACTACGGTTTTGCTGCAGCCCACCATTCCCCTAGTACACATCATCAACACCCTGCATACTCACATCCCCCAAATAACCTTCCAGAAGTTTTTGTCCCAGCGGGCTCCTTTTATAGGAAAGTCCCACTGCTCAGCTGCCCTCTACTCCCCACAAATCTCCCCACCTGGAAGGGGGAGCAGGTACAACTTTCCTCAACAGAGAAGTTATGACCTTGTGCTAATTTCACTGCAAAATCTCCAAAATGCATAGGCTGAGACCCTAACTATGCCTGAAAGAAATTTATTCATACATTTGACTGAGCATAAGAGAATGATCCACCATCTTAGCCTTGCATAGAGGTCACCCAGACCAAGGTTTATATATACAGGTGATTTTGGAAATCCTGCCAAAGATACTGTGAAGAACACGCTTTTCAGAGATCAGGGGCTCTGGGGTTTTTTCCTGGAAATCAGAGATTTAATGACCAGGTTTTTTTTCCTTAGATTATTTTGAGTTCTGCCTTTGGAAACTTGCTAGTAATTGCTAGTTCTTTGGGAATTCTGGCTTTTGTTCTGTCAAGATAACCCAGCAAAGTGGGAGGGAGAGCAGCTCCAAATTAGCATTTAGCTGATGGTACAAACAACATATTTGAGGTCACCTTCTCCCTGTTATTATAGTGCTTAGCACTTTTTGAATGTGTGTGCTTTTACTCAGCTCAGATGAAGACTCAACAGTATCTGCTGGTGGTCCAAACCAAAAGAGTCACTCAGCTTTCAATGAGAGGTACCACGTCTAAGACACACTGGGGCTGAGGTCACAAGAGGACATGGCAGTGGACACTGCCATATGTCCTTATTTGTTGGGTCATCAAGGGTAGAAATGTTAGAAGACTCAGTGATTTTACTGGAGGACCTACAGTCTTCCTTGTGACACATAGATCACTTGCTCCTTTGGTGTTTGGGTGGGCATGATAGGATACTGCTGAATTCTCCTCTACTACATCATTAATGTAGTTGATTTGGGAGAGAAGGTGGAGACACCCCCAGTTGTGTGGAAATACTGACAGAGCCCTGATATCCAGATCCTTCCTCTGAGAGGAGACTTTGCTACTGGGGTCAACTTAGCAAACAAGATGTCTTTTGATTAGTTAGTTGTTTTCTGGCAGTAGGGCCAGAAACGATTGCAAACTGCTCTGCCTTTGGCCAGACATTTGGTAGATTGCCACATTATATATTTATTAAAGGAATGAAGAAATCTGAACTGGATAAAAATAGCAAGGCTTAGATTAGAAAGTGGCTGGCAAATGACTAACAGAGGTTCACTGTTGCTTCAGGATACCCAGTGTTGCCAGAAAGATCCTGCACAGTGTGGATGTGGGTCTGCCAAGCTGGGGCAGAGGAGACATAAGACACAAATCTGGCCTGAAGAAGCACAGTGAAAAACACCACCAGGTCAGACTGACAGATGTCTTGGTGAAGAGAGAAAGTATGCCAATGAAATAGGTTCTCTTTGGTAGAGGCTGCACACAGATCTGCTCCTTGCAGCCCAGCAAAGCTGGAAGATGTAAGCTTGGAGGTGAGGTGCACAGTGGTGTCTGCTCTTCTGCCACACAAGATGGGAAGTTCACTCTTTTAGTGGCAGTCGAGCAGTATTAGTGGTCCTCACATTACTCCTGGTCAAAACCTCCTGTTTAAAATGTCCTTTTTGAGAATTTTTAGTCAAAAGGGAGTTTTCCTTAAGAACTGATGCCTTCTACCTCCTGTGGTGTTTCCAGTGGGTGGTTAAAAATGGAAAAGGGACTGGATGGCTGGAGGGTCCAGTCTCCTCAAGTCTTTGGTTTTTGCTCCCTCTTCAGATGGGTCAAGAGTCTCCCCCTGTAATGGAGGTAATCAGTTGATTCTCTGGTGCCAGTGTGGTATTAGTCAAGCTCTTTAAAGAGTTGCCACCTGCAGAGCAACACTACAGTTGCTAAAAAATTGCCCTTTGGGATCCAAGACCTGGAATTGACTTCTTTTTCCTACACAGAAGAAAGCTTCTAGCAGGCTGTGGAGATGGCACACACATTGTGTCTAAGGTGCAGTGCTGCCACTTGGAGGACAGTCACCTCCATGCAGAACCCAGATGATCTTCAGTCATTCCAAACATACAGAATAGTTTTATGTACACACATTTTCCTCTGTCACTTCTTGTCACAGGTCTGATCTGGAGTCAGTATGGCCAAAGGATTGTTCGAGTAAACTATTTCATATATAGACTTTGATGCTTCTATTAAGATAACGCATGAAGGCTGCCATCAAGATCAAGGGCTGCATTGTTCTGGGTGCTGTACAGTATCTATAACTACATTCTGTATCTGCACGCTAGGATACACCCACTGTCTCGAAAATCTTACAGTCTAAGTAGACACTTGAATGGGGAAGGAGACAGAAGCATGTGAAAGAGGAATAATTTATCCATGATCAAAGACTAAGCTGGAATTACAAGAGCCGGTGTCCTGGGTGGGATCTGTTATCTCCTCTGAGCATAACCACCTACCAATGACTGACACAGTCTGTAAATGCTCATAATAAAAGGCATCCCAGAAACAAGCCACGCGTAATTTCTGAGGACATTCTGTTCTTTCTCTGGTTACAATCCATGGGCGGGTAAGGGCTGTTCCAGCAGCTGCATGCAAGGCTTCGGACGTAGCAACAGCAAGTGGACCGTGGCTGTAAGAATGACTCCTGTCATATGCAATCATCTACCAGCACACCCTGTGGTGCTAATGAAAAAATCCCTTCACAAAGTGCACTGTGTGCATTATTAGATGAAGTAAGAGCTGAGGCAGCGTTGCCATCCCTCAGTCAGATAGGGAACTGCAGGGGCAAGGGGTCGGAGGTTGGTGCCTGCAGTACCACAGTGGATTACAGATTCCTCTTTGGTCACCCTGATAATCCGAGGTCTGACTCGTGTTGCCATATTTCTGACAAATGTGGAGAGGAAGGGTTGGACTCTGTCTCCAAACAGGTACTGCGATGTAATTGGACAACACAAAGTCTGGGAGTTAGCACATCTTTCACAGTGGCAACAGGTAAGGATAAAGCTATCTAAAGTACATCATTCCAGAAAATACCACCCAATGATGGATAAATATGAACATTAGTTTCTTCTAATGTGGTGGTGGTTGGGGTTTTTACCCCCTTCTCTCTTGGTGTGGTAACACCTGCTTTGTCCTCTAAACATAGGGCTCATTCCTACTTTGCATTTGTTAACGTAAAACCAGTGCAAACTTTGCTGCTGATTTTCATTCTGACACCAGATGCAGGTCCCCATATAAACACCAATGCTTGGGAAGAGCTGACTTCATACAGGATCCTCTTTTGCTCCTGAGGTGGTGCCATCCCAGTGTAAGAGGTCTCAGCACCCGGCAACCTCTGGCCAGAAACCAGGATGTTCTTGCACTTTCTACTGTAGGGTACCCCCCTTCTCAGCTGTGATATATTGTATGGGTACCCTCAGCTCCCTCTTCCTCTCCCTAATAGCAGGCTGTTCTCTGGTCTGTTTTCAGCTCAGATGTACCACATGAGATAACATTTTGCTGCTTGGATCTGGGCAAGCCTCAGTTACCAGCCTCTAGTCAACAGCTGACACATCGTAAGTGTACTGAGAGGTTGCAATAGACCATGTCCTGGGATGCTGCAGTGATGGAGGTGAGATAAGGAATACTTTGTAAAACATTCATACAAAGCAAACTTGACTGCTGTCAGCTATGGCAAATGAAGGTAACTGGCCAGAAACAAGTTTGTAACCATGCATTGACTCCCCTCAGCAGCACCCGACCAGCATGAAGCCATCTTTCCTACCTGTGAATCAATGGTGGCACTCAGAAAAGGTTTATTATTTCTAGCCACAATTCTCTTTCCTTCACCCTCTGGATCTGATTTTTAGGACTCAGGGAAAATCTTGCCTGGTACACAGGTCATGCTCTTAGCCTGTAACCAAAATATCTGTCCATTAGACTGGAAAAGAAACATCTCCTTTAAGAGTGTTGCGCTTCAATAAAGAACCTCTTTGTGGTGGCCCTCATCAGTGATGAAACCTTGTCCTGGTTGGCAGAATGAAAGCCAAGGGGCTTGTCCCCAACAGGCCAACAAAAGTGATGCTTTATTATTTATGCTGGTTTCTTGGGACACTTGTTGGCCAACAACTGTGTGCCTGCAATATTTTTACAACAGCCATCAATAAAAGTGCTTCATGCTTAAGATTTTGACAGAAAGCTGGGTAGTGGCCCTGACAACAATGGCATTTACATGATAGATTTTGTGGTGCCAGTGTATCCTGACCATCTTGGAGCTTTCTTCATCTTGGCCATCATTCAGCCTCCAAGCTTGTCATCACCACCATTTATTGGGACTATCTGACTATTCTGGCAAAAGAGATGGTCCCAGTCAGTGCACATGACACTGGGGAATGCTGGAGCTGGAGCCAGATCCTGCACCCTGGGTTTTATTGGGAAATTATTCAGCTTTCCTTACAGTTCGCTGGGGGCCACCACACCCCATGGGCTGATCTGATGCTTACCACTAAAATGCAGCCACTCCCAAAGTGAAGAGTAGCAACAAGTATTACACTGAAGGCCAAGAGAAGTTCTTGGCCAAGGACAGAGCAAAAAAGATCCTGTATTTTAATGTACGAACTCTGAACATCTGAGTTCTCTCAGGCAAACAGCCAGTACCCACACTCAGCAAGTCTTGGTCAACACAGAGAGGTTCTACGTGCCTGCTCGGCCTTGCTACCGCCTGTAATTTCTGGCAAGCCTTTTGACAATTGGGTGTTCATTGGAAAGTCCAGTTATTCAGAGTCCAAGACTGTCAGCTTGCCTTTTATGAGAGAGAACAGCATGTTCCCAGCCCTGCCATTTCCAGAGGAAACAAGCCCCAAGAGTACCTTAAAGGCTTGGACACAAATAGCTCGCGCTGTGTATTATTTTCAAGCCAGTCTAACGATTTTGCAGGTCTGACTCATTGCAGGTAAATGCAGAAGGTTAGTCATGATAGTCATCTGTAGGCAAAGAGGAAGGACCTCACTGGACTCATCCTAGAGCAGTTTTTATTGCTGTTGTAGGGTAAAGAGCTGAGACAGATTAGTGCATCCCAGACCTTGGCGTTTGTCTGAGGACTTGTTTGTGGATACAGACTGTTCATACTGCTGATGGCTTTACATCCATCTCCCTGCTGAGAGTTGATGAGCATCTGATCCTTCCTGAGCTAAGGCCAGGTGTTGGTAGAAGACTCATCAGCTGCCATGGTGCTGGTCTGTGGGAAGTGTGCACACCAGTGGTGGCTGCCCCGTGGCACTCTGCAGCAGAGAACTCACACCAGGGTGCTGCTGTCCTCCACCCATGGGCACAGCCACTAGCAGCTCCACACCACTATTGTGAGCACAGCCAGTCAGAATAATTTTTGGACTTTACCCATGCTGAGGCCTCAAGATACTTGGTCTTGATAAGCAGAGAGGAGGAAAGGAGAACTTTTAAGCTTGGATCCCCTACAGATCCTGTTGTCTGCACTGGACATGTTCATGTCCAGCACAGAAGTATTTCCCTGAACCCCTGCGATCCGAGGATGCTCTTCTGTGGCAGCACTGAGCCTCAGCCCGGCTGCAGGCCAAGCTGGGAGCACCATCTGCTGGCTTTGACACGGCGGGCTGGCTTGTCAGAGGGACAATCACAGGGTAATTCAGGGCTCCAGGTGCCGCTGCACGGTCATTAGACTGCATAGCAAATTAGAGATGGAAAAGATCACAGGGTTGCGTAAATCCCTCGGCTAAACCTCCTCCTGTCAACCTCACAAAAGAGACTCCAAACCAGTTAGTCTCTCTGCACTAGAGCTGGACAAACTGACCCGGGTGAAGGAGATCCAGCTGTAAGTCAGCTGGAGCTATTTATGGCTTCTTCAGAGCTTGTGAAAGATTTCAACTGAAGATGTCACTGAGAAGCCTTCTTAGTGCTTAATTCTTACAGTTTGAAATGCAGTTTTGTTTACAAATATTTCTGATAATAATAATATTGAGAGGAGTGCCAGGACCCTAAAAGGGAAACAAATGTGTGTCTCGGGTGCACCAATGCAACATTTAAGCACATCTCTTAAATCCATAGCCCTTGCCCCTTTTTTTTAAGTTTTTGCCATGCCCCAAATATTCACATGAAGGGGCCAAGGGCCAAGCACAATTCTCTCTTGAGAGGTAGAGCCCTTGTGGGTGCTGAAGGGAGGCTCGTTTTACAGATCCACCTACATTGATGCCTGTGACACATATACCCCATGACTCTGATCTTGTCTGTGGTGGCCTGAGCAAAGATCTTTGAAGGATGTTGTCCATGTCCAGGATGAGCAGTAGCACATGGCCTGGGCTCCTGGTTCCCAAAGGGCCATGCTGGGGAGCTCTGTGGGTGCTACTCCACGTGGGAATCAGGCTTTTCTGCGGGGTGCATGGGGACAGGAGCGAGGTGTGGCTGGCAAGTGGCCAGGGTATGTTGCTAGACCTGGGAGCTCAGTATGGTCCCTCTCACCTCCAGGGGTTATCTCACCAACTGCCAGCTGGCCAGGAATGTGCTTTGACTTGCTCAGTCCTGCTCATCCTAATTACACCTTCCTGGAGTGCTATACATAATTTCCCTCCCACCGTCACTGTCCTTTTTCTCCAAGCTGCTTGTCCTTTAATGGCATACCAACTCCTCACTTTCCTTTGATTTTCATCCCCAGATACCCATCTCTCAGCACTCCTGCCCCTTTCCCTCTCACAGCCCTCAATTGCCTGGTTTGTGAGTGCTGGACAAAGATGCCCTGGACCCATATTTGCTTTCTGAACTCTCAAAAGGAACACCTTTTTTTGGTCAACACAGCATGAGCCTGTGCAAGTCATTTCCACAACAAGACCATTTCTCCAGTACTGTAACTGACAATATGTGATAAAGGAATCATTGTAGCCCACACTAAGGATGAACGAGAGCTTTTGAAGTGTTCTAAGTTTACTTATTACAGGACACAGATAACTTCTATGTACCACGACTAAAGAGGATGTTTCCCTAAAGATCCTTGCCTTTCCCTTGAAACTGGCTGCCTTAAACATCAGACTAGTCAGATGGAGGCTGGGGCCAGCCTAGGAGGCAGGATCTATCCCCAAACCACTGCCTGGCTCACTCCAAGCCTCAGTTTTACATGCTGTAAAATGAGAAAAGTGGGGGAGCTGTTTCACCGAGGCACTTAGAGAGCTAGAGGTGGAAAATGTTTTATAGGTGTTCATGCCTTGAACCCTGAACCAAACCTCTATAGCCATTGCAACATTTCTGACCCTTTTGATGTGAAATAATTTTCTTGGTTTCTTGTGCATACCTTAAGCTTTTCTCCAGCAACTGAAGAACAGCCTAAACCTTTGACCCTTCTGCCTTCCCCATAGCTGGGCAGAAGTCACTTTCTATCAGATGTGTGATGGATCTGTCCAGTCCCACACTTCACTGCAGTGGACAAGGATCCTCTGAGCTGTCCCTGCATGAACTGTAAGGAGAACCTATGTCAGGGTACATTCAATAATGGTAAAGTACAAGAAGACCTTGCAGGAGGCTGCTTAGTGTGCGTCACCCATGCAGAGGGCAGCATTAGGGAACATAAAGGTTACAAAATCAAGCCTACAGCAAAGAGGTCATGCAGCCATTTGCGTGTCCTGGTGTGTCAATACTGTCTTTAATGGCACAATCTCCAACTGATACAGCTAAGAACAAAAATAAACAGAGAGGCTTCTGGGCACACCAGCACCTTTCCTACACTTTCAGAGACAAAATGCTAAAACACCCCATGTTTGCTTTCATTGCACGTCAGTTGATCTCATGAAAGTCTTTATTTGGCTTTGTTTCTGGAGCCACTTGACTGTAGAAGCAGAATAGCTCAGGGCATGTTCAATCCAGGATTGCAAGCAACACTTACACTTTCTTGGGGTGCTAGTGGATGTTTTGAAAGGCTTTAGGCACTATTGAAGCTGTATTTAGCTGATGCAAAAGGCAAAATTGCAATCAAGTCAGTTGAAATCTGCTTACTGCACTGGAAATTGGACCTTCCTAATACTATTCCAGCTCTTTCGGGGTTGAATTCTGTGTGCTGCCTAGACAAAATTCATTCCTTTTGCTTTTGATTTCATACCTTTTGCATATCTTTTAACATAGGCAACTGAATTCTTTCTTGGCCTTTTTAATGGACATTTTGTTTTAAAAAACCTGTCCTTTGGGCACTTTGCATTGACACCAAGAATCTTCTGAGATATCTGTGAGCCAGACTTGGAATTATTACCTCCACTTCTTAACCTCTTTTTTATATCCATTAGTTGTATTGCTACCAGGGTGGAAGGTAGCAAGAACATTAGAGGCCTTATTTTTTTACTTTTTCTATGATTACTCGCACAAGTTCTTTTAGGACAGTTCAGATTTTCTCTGTACTCTGGAAATTAAACATAGACATATTATATTAATATTGTGGTTTGTTATTTATAACAAGTTGGAAGCAATTATGACAGGTGGTGATTGGTTCTCTGTCTCTTGTTGTCTTCAAGGCCTGCCTGCTGTTCTGGGAGATGAGCAAATAGTCAAACACATGTTACAGCACTTAGTGCAAAGGTCAGAAGAGATCTGTATTGGCCAGGGGGTCAGGTGGGGTAACGTACCAGTCCTCACCGTAAAATGTATTTTAATGCTCTTCCGGGTCCATTTTAGTAAATTTACAGAGCTTTTGTCAGAAACAATAACAAAATTTGAAGAACATTATAAAACAACATTACATCCCATTTCTTTAGACAGCGCTTCACAGAGTCTTTTAAACAGCTTTTGAGGGCTGTAATTAAACATTTTGAGACATGTTTGGGACAGTTTTGTTTCAGGCTTTGTCTCCAGCTTCTTTGGTTTGACAAACATGATTGTTTCCAGGAAAGTGACTGTTACACTTAATAGGAATTAGAAGTTGGCAGGGGAGGCTGCTGTTTCCAAAGCTGCTGGTGCTTCTGTGAGCTTGGAAAAAGGCCTGGCTGTCTCTTGTAACAGTTAATAAAAAAATTAATTCCACCTTTTTTTCTTGGATCACCTACGATTAATTTTTTCCTATTTTTTGCAATCTTCTTACTTCATTTGTCTTGGAGTAACAAAAACAGCACACCCCACTGAACTCAATGATGTTCTTCCTTTCCAGTTGGTCAAGATACGTCTGGAGTGTTGCACGATTCCAAAATGCTGATGCTGCCAGACCTGAGAAATGTGAAAACTTGGGTTCAAAGTCCTGAAACAGGCAGCTGGAGACTTACAAGAAACAACTGGAAATTCTTCCCCTTCCTATCATTGGAAATAGATGCCAAGTGCAGAGTGTTGGCATCCTCTGCATCCCACCAGTGCTGTCCCAATGGGACTGAGCCCCTCGGCAGCCCCTCAGCTCCCCTGGGGCAGCATCAGCTTCTGCAGCTGCTCCCTTCAGCAGGTCCAGGACAGCCTGGGAGGGAGAGCACAGCCATCCCCACTATTTGAATTAGACCACCAAAACCATTATACTCTGCTAAACATCACAGCATTGAAATTTTATTTCAATATAATTAATAATAAAAATTAATTTTAAAGTAAATAAAGGGTGTATTTCCCTCACCTTTCACTTTCTGGGGTTTTGTCTTCTACTAGACAAATTTTCAAGCTTTCTCTCAGCATACATAGCACCTTCAATTTTAAAATGCCCATGGCTCCAGGAGCTGGGGCTTTAATGAGTGCAAATACCATCAGCCTTGCTGTAATAGGACACAGCTGGGTGGCACAGCTGGCCCTGGGGTCAATTTTTAGCAGCTGCATTTTCTCCTTTCCTAGGTACCCACAAACTGTCCAGCCACTCCTGGGCTGAGGTGCTGCCCTGCCTGGGTGGGCAGCACTCCAGACAAAGGCAGTGTTTTGCCAGCAGTGTTCTACATGCAGTGCCCAGGTCATGCCTGGCCAGAGCTTCCTGACCTGGGCATATCTGAGCTTGCTGTGAAGTCCATCGGAGAGCAAATCTTAGCTGGGTACGTTTCCCTCCCTTAGGCTGTGTGACCTGGGAGGGACTTTCATCTGCCTGAGGTGTCCCCAAGCAAAGCTCAGCCTCCAGCCAGCCCTGCCTCATGGCTCAGCCACAGGGGCTCAGTCCTCTTCAAATCCTGCCTGAGTCCCACAGGAGCTCGGTCCTCTTCAAATCCTGCCTGAGTCCAACCCTTCTGCCTGGTAGCTGCGCTCCGGATGAAATGAATTTGACTGGTCTCAGACCATGTTTTGGCTGATCATATCCACAGCATAAAATTTGGTTTAGCATTGTGGAGAAGATCCTCCTATGGCTTTGGGACACAGTGGTGCAGCTGATCAGGTTGATCTGGGGCCAGTCAGGGTGTCTGTGGTGGGTGCTGTGACAGTACTGGGATGTCAAACATGGCCAGCAGGCACAGGTTGGATGCACTTCTAAGTAGTTCTAGCAGCTGTTGGCTGCTAGACTGAGGGATCAGCCCTCAGGGAGAGACCACTAACTCTCCTATGGACTTTATAAGAAACCCCAAAAGCAAAAAATTAAGGGGCAATGGGAAGGTTTAGTCAGAGGCCTTTCTCCTGGGGTGAGAATGGCATGATGCAAACAGGAGGTGGGAAGAAAGAGCAGGTCACCAGGATGAAGGAGAAGCACGTGGAGGTAAGAACTGGCCCTGATGTCCCTTTAACTCCTAGAGGAGACTGAGGCAGAGACAATGTTCACTTATCTGTGGCCCAAGCAGCAGACACAGACAGCCTGAACCCAAGCCCCCATCCCAGAGCACCCAGCACCCCAGCCTTGGCAGTGCCTCCAGGACAGGAGGAGGTGAGAGCACTCCAAAAGCAGCCCTTCCAGTTGCCTTTGCAGGGAATGGAGAGCCAGGACAGTGCTGGTGGAGATTGAATCAAGTGATTACTTTAGGGGATTTGCTGTCTGTTTCTTTATCCCTCTCTCTCTTTTTTTCTTTTTCTTTTTTTTTTTTTTTTTTTTTTTTTTGTTTTCCCTTTTCCCTCCCTCTTATCCCTTTCTTGGTGCATTTGTCTTCGAGGAACCTGGGGTGTTCTTTTCATCAGTTCAGTCTCTCTCTGGCACTTGAGTCCTGATTGGCTGAAGGACTTAGGGGAAAAAAAATCTTTAATTAAGTAGATAATCTCTTCTTAGGAAGTTCTGCGGCTCCATTTCACCAACCCCCTTTAGCTCTTTAGGATTGGTTACCCTTTGCAGAAGTTTGGATTCAGGAGGCATACGCCTCTTCATCACACCAGGACTGCCGGGTGGAAAATAACTCCATCCCTTCCCTAATTTAGTTGTGCTTCTTTTTTTTTTTTTTTTTTCTCTGGTGGTGGTGGTACCCAAGTTGTTTTTTTTATAGGATCTCCTTTCTCCATCTTCATTTGGATTTTATATTTCACATGGACCCTTATCTGGCCATCTTCTTCCTCACTCCCTTCTTCCAATCCTGCTGTGCCTGGTGAGTATCGAGAGCACCTCAGTCTGTGTCACAGGCAGGTGCTCTTCCCAGATATCTGAAGGAAATTCCTCTTCACCTTCCTAAATGTCCCCTCCTTCCCATTTCGCTCAGTTCTGTCTTTAATGGAACCAGATATTTAACTAAGTCCCAACACACTCACTGGCAGAGGTTAGATCTGTGAAGTCCCCCTTTTTCCCTGTGCCTCCCAAAAATAACTATGGGCCAAATCCTGAGCTGGGGTAAAATAGAGGAGAGTGGATGCTGAGGACCTAGCCCCTCACTTCCAACTGGGAAGATAACCCAACGGAAGAGCCAGGGACAAAGGCTCACAGTCAGCTTGTCTTTTGTCTTAATCAATCAAGTGGGGCTTCTCTCACACTCCCCAAAGAAGAAAGCCTCTGATTAAGAGCTCAGAGCCAGCAGTGGTAAGTTAGATCCACAGGACTGTCACTCTGCGTGAGTAGCCTGAGATCCAGGCTCCTTGGCAGACACAGGGCAGAATTACATGTCTGAAATTCATGTATTAGGAATTCCTGGGGAGAAGCTTTTGGTACGGAGATTGCTACAGCTTGGTTTCCAACCACCTGAGTCCTGTCAGACCAGTTCCACTGTGGACAAATCTGTGGCCATCTCCTGTGGACTTGCTCTGTCCCAATGGCAGTTTTGTATTTATTTCCAGGGAAGTTCTATAAGGATTAATAGAGATTATACTTGCATCATCTCATATCATTCCTTGCAGAGTATATCAGTCCCATGCCCAACCAGAGCATGGCTCCGTAGGTATTTTTTTCCTGTGTGATTTTTATCCATTGTTGTGATGCCCTGGGGAATCTGTAAAGTGGGTTACAGACTTATCTCTAATGGCAAGGAAAGTCTTTTTCTGTTGAATGACTAAAATCCCCTGCCTTCCCCAAAGCAGAACTTTAGGGTTATTACCATGGATGGACAAGTCAAAATTATAGAAGGAGAAATTACAGAATAAATAGGAACTCATTTCTGCTATCTGAGAGTGAAATTTATGTTCTTTCAGACATTTTCTACTTCCTTCATTAAAAGAATGTGCAACAATTTATATATGCCTAAATACTATAAAGCAGCAAACTCAAGATAAATCTCCCTTCTGGAACAAGGGGAATATATGTGTTCTGCAGAAAGGGTAGGCAAGAGCTCATGTTGATTTTACTGTTATTTTTCTGCCCTTCCTATGTATGTGTCTTGCTTTCCTCAATAAAAATAGGTTTAAAATACATTAAAAAAAAAAATCAACATTTTGAAGAAACAGCTGCAAAGGAAAGAAATTTCAGTGCACAAAGTAGACTTAAATATGGAAATTGGAAGCATTTTCAATCCAAAGTTGATGTTTAAATTCTGTGTCTGCTTTTCAGAAGTTTTTATCTAAGAGAAAAGCTTACAGATCAAGATAACCCTGCTTCTCTCCGCATATTGCTCACAGGTCATGAGTTCCTGAGAGAAAGGAAAATTGTAACCTTTATTTGAAATTATCATTTTACAGACACTATCCCTTAACTCTTGAGGAGAAAAAAAGCAAACTTTGTGGGAATCATAAAATAATTCTGCTTGAAATTTGTGCTGGTTTTCTTTATCTGATCCAACAGCTTAAAACACAAGTTAATTTTCTCCTGTGATTTAATGACAAGAATTGGGAGTGGGAGGGGGGCAATATAGAACAACAGAAATTATTTTTTATATATATATATGGCCACTTCCCTTCTCTGAGCATGGATTAAATTCTACCATTTAATTGACCATCCAACCACTGTATTTCTAGATACAAAAGGTCAGGGTTGCATTGAGGAACTAAAAACCCCCAAATAAAGATAACAAAATAAGGAGAAATGAAGAAAAAAAAAAGTAAAGTTCCAAATGTTATTGAGTTTCTGCCCAGTCTCCTATCCTGTGGGAATAATGTAACAAAATCTAAAGCAGCAATTTGTTTCTAAACGGCTTTTTTATACACTTCAGCTGTGGGACTGCCTTTAGTTTCCAGCCTCCCACGTTTTATAATAACCTTGGGGAGTTCCTATTTGAGAATGAAACTCAGATCCAAAGTGAAATTCTATCCATTTTCTGTATTTACAATAATGACAGTAAAGATCTAAATACAGCTTTATAATTTTCTAAAGAGCTGAACCAGCAGCACAGTAGCCTGAGTGGGTGATAAGATAGCAAACAAATATTTTAATGGGAGATTAGATAAGGCTCTTAGGGCATATTAAACTGAGGAGAGGGGTGCTGTCATTGGTTAAAGTCGTAACTGAGATGGAATTATCAGAGGCTTGTTAGTATTTGATATGTGTAAAATATAGTGGGACAGCTGCTTGGCAGGGTTCTTTGCTTTCAGATTCAATAACCTGTGATAGAGAACTCCTGCTATAGATACTAATTAGCTTTGAGATAATTTCCTAATATCGGATACAATGAAAATCTCTTGCCCTAGATTTGTTTTTTACCTGGAGACATAGATTTGCAGTGAGTGAAGCAGTGTACTCTGGCCAGGGCCCTGCACAGGCTGGGGAGGGGGATGAGGAACTTGGTGGGTCTCCTCTCTATACCTGCTGAGGTTTGAGTCTGTGTGATACTGTCCTGGAGTTTGAAAGTAGAGGGAAAGGGGTTCATGTAGCTAGAAACCTTGTGAGCTTTCTCAGAGAAGAGGAATGACTTCAAGTATTTCTTTTTATGTGTGTGATTTTAAAAAGTCACCGAAGTCTTGGGAATTCGGCTGGTTAACATCCACTGTAGATGCAGCTAGCTAGTTATTTAGAATTACATTGTGCTTTCCTTTACAATGCTATGAAAATTTAGTAGAATAAATATTTTTGTTAAAAAAATCACACTACACAGAAAACAAATGAAGAGAGATTCATTTTGTAGTGACTCCTGTTTGCAGCACAGAGATGATTCTAGTGGCATGGTCAATATTGCACTACATCTGTGAAACTTGTGGCTTAATTGCTCTCTGCCCTCACTGGAGACTATACAGAACGGAGACATATTTTTCTTAGCTAAATCATAGAAGCAAAAATAAAACACACAGATTCTGTCTCCATTATTATCTTTCCTTCCCTCTCAGTAATAAATAAGAAAAATTTCAGCTAGCCTCCAGCCACATGACAGTCCAGTTCCCTTCTCCTGAATCCACTTGCAGCAGCAAGAGTTAAATATTAGGGTGTCAAATGCACCAAGTCCAAATGAATCCTTTACTTGTCTAAGCCCTACAAACCCGCCCAGCAGCATGCCTGCCTGTTGATCCAAGAGCTCAGGGAAAATGCTTTCTGTCTCTACGACTGCTTAAAAATGTTTAGAATATCCTGCTGGGAAATTGCTACTGTATCATTTGCTCAGTTGCAGATGGCGAATTGGCGTATCCTGAACTTGGCCTTTTTGCGAACTTGAGATTTATCCTGGGAGGAACAGATCCTCTGCTTCAATGCAGTTATGTCAATTTGCTCCTGCTAACAGGCTGGTTTGCTGTAAACCCTGAATTTGTGGATTACTATCCTCACCCTAAAGCCACCCTTGCAACTGCTCAGATGTTCCTAATCCAAGGCGATGCCAGTAAGGGTTTGAAGCAAATCCGTCTTGTACACTGTGAATTTGGGTTTTCCTACACACATAGGAAGCAATGCCAATGGGATGTATCTCTTGTTTTGGCCACAAAAGCAAGATGAGAGAGGACTTGCAATTTCCTAGTTCTTGCCTACAAAGGGGCACTTTACCAGAGGTTTTTTCACAGCTGCTACCAGGGGCTCAGATTCACACTGACACCATTCTGAGTGTGGTCCCCATAGCAAAGCACTTAAGGTCAAGGCAAAGGACAGGAGAGAAACCAGATGGAAAAATGACTTGTTCATGCTGCTATCCAGTTGCATTAGGATGGGGACCCATGGAGCTTACACAGTCTGATTAGCCCCAGGTTCATGGCCCTGTGTGATTCAGGTCACCCGATGCTCTAATCACTCAGCTACAGATGCCGCCTCTCCAAGTCCCAGGAAATATTTAATTAGCTGTACAATGCAGAAGCAGCTTCCAAAGGAAAATTCCTCTGCAAAACAACCATCGACTTCGTGCTAAAGTACCCATGAACTGGAGCACGGCCGGGTCTGATTCCCAAGCCTGGAACAAAGGGAAAGGATCTCCTGCCCTTGCACAGCCCACTTGCATTTTGAATCTTTCCCAAAGCAAGCTTTCATCAATATGGACACATTTTCACCAAAAAACCCTGACAAAAAAAACAAACCAACCAACCAATCAAATAAAAAAAAAAAGTTAGGCTTGCCAGAGTGAAGTGTTGCAAACTCAATCTCTCAACTCTTTCTAAACCGTAAAAGCAAGGATCAAATTTCTTGTGATTTTGACCAAAATAAAGTAATGAGACCTCCTTTTTGTCGTGTACCTTGGAGAGGATCTCCATGAGGGCAGTTCTAGTGGAGGTAAAACAGGTTCACTAACTCCAGGAGCAGTTTTCCGGAGGCAGGGCAACATCCTCTCTCAATCTGTCACATGTCTGATATCTGGGCACCAGTCCTGCCTCCCTGTCTGCCTCTGTGTCTATGGCAGGGCTGCACTTAGTCCCGCAGTTTGGGACAGCAGTGCCTGCTTCTGCCTGTGGATGCTTCCACACTCTCTCTGCTGCACTTGTAGCATAAAAGGAAGGTACCTTTCTCTTCTTTACCAGGGAGATACCTGTGGCTCATTTGAAGCAAAACATCATCTCGAGGAGAAGCAGAGGGGCCCAGTTTCTATCAGTACATGCTCTATCATTTTCCCTGATCACTCACTCACCGCAAGCTCTCAATCCACTCATGACACCTCTCTGGCCTCAGTGTGCTCCCCAGGGGATAACAGCACTCACCCATTTCTCTGGGGTGCCAGCAGGGGAGGTGCTCCAGAGACAGTGATGAGAGTTATTTTGCAAAGCTAGAGAGGCTGGAATTAGGTGTTTGTGGGAGAGATTTCTCTTTTCTCACTTCCTTTCTGACTAGGGATATTTGGAGTTGGCTCTTGGGCCTTTTCAAAGTGTCAGTCCTTTCTGCCATGACGTGGCTAAGCACGATTCACCCAGACATCCTCCAGATTCCATATGGTGGTCACTGCACCATATGGAGTCCTAATCCTGACTGACCATTTGCACTGAAAGTCTTTCCTGCTGAAGAAAGACTCAGACTGGACAGCATTGGTTCAGCAAGTTCCTGGGGACAGTGTTGGAAAACAGACACACTGCCAGACCCTTGGAGGTGATCCCTCCACACCTTCAGTGGGAACACTAGAAAGTTTAATTTTGGCTAGGCCCCCCTCCATCCCAAACCCCCAGGGCTCCCTGCAGTGTCCATCAGGATAGGGAGGACATGTGTACTTGTGTTCAGCCTTCACTATAACCTGACCAAGAGGAGAGTGTGGGCAGCCAGAGCTGGCACTGCAGGAAACAAGGGACTGTGATCTGGAGGGGTGCAGCTGGGACACACTGCAAAGGAGCAGCAGTGTGACCTCCTCCTTCCCTCAGCATGGTCCAACAGGGAGAATGGTGCTGGCACACGGTCCAGCTCCTGGGGCTGGGGGAAATGCTACTCCAAGTTAAGTTGAGCAACAGTTTGGTGAGGTAAAAAGCAAGGCTAGAGGAAGAGAATAATATTAAAATAATGGGGTGATTGCTACAAAGGGCAGCTGAGCAGAGGAAAGCAAAAGGAGGGAGCAGTGAGGGGGTTGCAGCCCAGTACAGCCTGGTTGAGGGGAGCAGGGTGGGGGGAAGGAGATGGCACCATCCTATCTCTCAGGGAGCAGCAAGGGGAGATGAAGGAAAGACCAAAGGTGCCTGCAGCCAGGAGACAGGCAGACTTCAGGGGAGTGAGAGAAGAGCTCTGGGATGCCTGGCATTCCCCAGGCCCCTCCACCATCACCCTCTCCCTGCTGACACTGTCTCTGTCTTCCAGGTCAGTGAATAATTTCCTGATGACGGGCCCCAAGGTAAGAGAAATCCCTTTGATCTCTGTCCCTGATTCCACTAAACCCAGGGAGGGAGAGAGAGAGAGAGACAGGGGCTCCTCCTTACCCCTCCTCTCCACCCAGCCTCGGCCAGAGCTCCCCTCACACCCAGGTTTCCAGCAGCAAGGCAGAGAGGGACCAGAAGGACCTGCTACAACTCCTTGAGCTGCATCAGGCCTAAGCAATACTGACCTGGGGTTCTTTTAAGCTAGTTGGGGCCAGATTCTGGAGATTTGTCTGTTGACGCCAGCTGAAGCTCTCAGCTGTCATCTATTGCTTCCTGATGATCAGGTTGGCATTGGAACCCGCATTGATCCAACTGGAAAGTACTTTCTGTAGGCCCTGTAAAACATTCTTCCTCAAGGAGCACAATTAGAATTGCCAGGACTTTATTCAGTATTTTTGACCCCCCACATCCTTGCCCTCCTCTTTCAGAGGCTTTTTTTCCTAAATAGGACCAGTTGTAAAATTTACCCAGTTTTTGTTCTGGCTATTCCCCAGAAACACCTCCAGGCCCATCTAGCACTTTCTACATCTCTCAATGCACTGGTGGAGCAACCTTGCCCCAAAGCATTGCTGTCTCCCTGGGGCTGTGGTGAAGAAGGAGGCAGGCTAAGGTACCTGCTGGCCTGGAGTTTCCTGATCTCTGAGCAGAAGGCTCTGCCTCCTCTCATGCTGGAGAGATAAGGGGTTCCCTGTGGCAGAGGCTAGCTGGCACAACTCCTGATGCGGCTAACAGCCAGGAGCTCAGCCTTCTTCCCCTAGGAGGCTCAGGCTCCAACCCAGCACATCAGGAAATACCTTTGCTGCTGCTGCTGCTGAGCTTCGCTTCCCAGGGAAGCCAAGCCTGGGAGACCTCCTCAGCTCTGTGTGTCTTGTCTCTGTAAGATGACATGCAGGTTATTTTCAGTTGAAAATACACATCATCCCTGTGCTGACCCACTGCTCTGCTCCCAGGCCTACCTCATCTACTCCAGCAGCGTGGCGGCCGGGGCACAGAGTGGCATCGAGGAGTGCAAGTTCCAGTTTGCCTGGGACCGCTGGAACTGCCCTGAGAGGGCATTGCAGCTCTCCAGCCACGGTGGGCTGCGCAGCGGTAAGGAAAGCATTGGATACCACTACTGGGACCCCCTTACTACAGGTTAGAGCCCATGGCCCCCTCCTCTCTTCCCAAGTGCCTCCTTTACTTTCCCATCCCCACCTGGCACATGCCTTTCCCAGGAATCCCTCAGAGGGATCTTTCCAGAAGACCCCTTCACCCATCAGCTCCCACACACAGTGGGATCTAGCCTCAACACAAGGCAGCCTTTCAACGTCAGCATCACCTCCGGACCTGCCAAACCCCAGCTTGAGCAGGACAACTCACACAAGGATGCCTTCCCACAAAGATGCACCGTCATGAGCTCCACATGGGCTGCTGGACATGCCATGCCTAGATGGTGTCCCAGGGTATCCCGTGGAGGCTGAGAACCAGCACAGGCTAGTGGTGTGCCAAGCAGAGGGGTATGGCTAAAGAGAGTAGGAAAGAGTTCATCAGTGGCTCTGCTCTGGCCAAGAGACAGGAGAAAAGTCTTCTCACAGCTTCCCGATATCAGAATCCCCTTAGGCAGAATTCCAGCATCCTTGACCTGGGCCACTGCAGGGCATGGGGCTGTGGTCATTGTCACTGTATCCCATTCCTTACCTGTTTGCAGGTCCCAGGAAATATTTCAGTGCATATCTGGCCCTCTAGACCTATATATGATGCTGGGCTGAGCTCATACCTGCCCTGTAGAGGCAAGACCTGGGTGTGGAGGAGAGCCTCAGGCCTCTGGAGGGATTGGCAGCAGATAAAGGACCAGGGCCCCAGGCAGAGGTGGACAGAGATTTCAAAGTGGGGCCTTGAGGAGAGAATTGCCAGTCAAGTCCCACTCTGGGACCCAGAACAGGTCTCTGAATCATTCTTGTCAAGGCTATTTGCTCAGATCCACATCTTGCTGGTATTAAATGAAAGCCAAAGGCTTGGTGAAGTCAGCTGATGATCTCCACACTGATCCTGGTGGGTAGGTATGGTCACTGCTCAGAGCCCTTCCAGCAGAAGGTAAGGCTCGAGAGGGCTGTGGGGAAGGAGCTCTTTGACCCTTGGAGAGGGCTCATTCCCTCTGGTGTTAGTGAGAACTGGGGGACATTTGGCCATCTGTGCTATATTGCCATTGCTGAGCTCCCAAAGGACAGCCACGTGCTATCTCATCCACACCCTTTGAAATGGCATGAGTCAGCCTGGATCAAATTTGGGAGCTTCTGTCTTCATGCAGTTCAAGCCCCAACTAAGCTAATCTGACATGTAGGGCCTTCTCTCCACCCCACAAAGCCCTCCGCAAGCAGATCTCTTCCTACACAGACTCCTGCATGGCAGGAGTAATTTCTAACAGTGGTCCTGCTGTGAAATCCTTAGCACATCTGCTCTCTTTGTGTTCCCACTTGACAGCGAACAGAGAAACCGCCTTTGTCCATGCCATCAGCTCTGCAGGCGTCATGTACACACTGACCCGGAACTGCAGCCTCGGGGATTTTGACAACTGTGGCTGTGATGACTCCCGCAATGGACAACTGGGTAAGGAGAGATGAGCTGTTGCCCCTCACTCACGTACAAGGCAGCAGGAGAAGCTCTTCCCTCCGCTGCTGAGCCATGCAGAAACACCTCCTCTTCCTGGTCCCCACACCTGGAAATAATGCCCAGAGCAGAGCTTTGCCTGGTTCAAACCAAAGTAACTCTGAGGAATTTGGAAGTAAGCAAACCAAAGTACCTCTGTGGAAGCTAACTGAAGCACCTCCAATTTACACCAGCTGAGGCCAAGCCCTTGATGCTTTCCTTTACTTTCTAAATGACCAGGAAAGTAGAAGGGGTTGCAGTTTCCCTGGTTCAAATCAAGAACTCTATTCAAGCTGCTGGAGACAATGACAGTATCATATGGGCAGAGGAACAGATCTGATGACATGCTTCTACGTGGCAGGTGTTGTTAGAGCAGTGCTGATCAGGGACCTCGGGGCTCCCAGACTCTGCAGGATGAGGGTGGCCCCTGAGCAGAATGACCACGAGGGAAAGCAGGGTGGCACTCATAAACCTCTACAGCGTTTCTCAGCGTGGTAGGCACACAGCAGCACAACCAGGAGACCCACTGTGGCAGCACACAGCCTTCACACTGTTCATGTCACACTGGTACCCAGGTCCTCGGCCACAAAGCACCTCTGAGTGTGGAACCCCAGGCTGCACCACTCTAGCCCTCCACTCAGCTTTCACTGAAAACACCGACATTTAGGTTTTTTGTTTTGAATGAAAAGAGGACAAATTTCAAATTATCAAAATATTTTAAAAGCCATGCCCTGCCCAGCCAGTCAGTCAGTATGTGTTACTTTATGACAACTCCTCTGGAGTGTCCAGTATTTAGTAATTCACTTTGCTGGCTAATCCACTGCTGCTTAGGTGTCCAAGGTTTGGAAATGCCTAACTCTAGCAGAGAAAGACTTTTGGGTAATGACACAGCAAATTTTATCTTCTCTGGAAAACCAAGTTAGTCATGCCACATTTTCTTTCCTCCAAACATATCTGTTTTTCCTGAAAATTTTCCATTGTGAATTAAAAGCTTGTAAGGCATAGGAAACTTTTCAGCTTGACCAAAACAGTGTGATTCAATTCAGCCATTGCACTGAATCCAATTTGGTGAGAGGTTTCCATTCTCCCTTCAGTCCCAGCTCTTGATTTGGACTTCATCATCCACTGCAATTACCCACCTCCCACGAGACACTCCTGCCTTTCCCTGGGAGAGGGGATGCCCTGGGGAAATCTGGGCAATGGCCAAGCCTTTCAAGAGAGGCACAAGGTCGTTAAACCACAACTCCCAAGATGTACTGCTAAGGCATGTTAGGGTCAGAATGTTCCAGATTTTAAATCTTCATAAATAACTTGGCATTTTTCTCTAGGAGTAAAAAAAGCAAACCGTGTGACGTTTTTCCAGTCAGCTGAGCTAAGTTATCAAGCTCCCACACAGTTAGGAAAAGTACCCTCCACATATTTTTGTGCAGCTTCACAGTTCTGTACTGACTCCTTTGTTTCTTTATGATAACTGGAAAATCAGACCCTTCTAAGATGCCAAACATCATCCCAGAACTCTGGGTGTGCCAAAAAGAGTGCCTTCTCAATACATGTATGCCAGGCTTAGGCTGTTTCAGACAGAGGGGAATCTGTTCCCTCTGACCAGGATGCCTCCACCAGTTTGCTAATCCAAGTTAGCAAGGTGCTGTCCCTGCGAGTCAGACTGAAGGAGCTCAAATCAGGGTTTGAGAGAAGGTGATTAAAGACCCAAAGGCTTATCTGTATGGCTGCATGATAATTGACAGCTTCTGAATCCTGCTCTACAGAAAGCCTGGAGACCCCTGCATTTGTTGTACAGGACATAGCCCTTCCCTGCCTGCCTGCCTGAGCCACATACTATCCAGGCCTCAGTAGAAATGCTATGAGCTCAAGGGGAGGGAATCTGAGAGTATTGTGAGGTTAAAGACTGAATTTGCCCCGCAGCCTCCATTCCCTCCCATCACTTCTGATATCCCAGAGCCAAAAGCCAGGCAGGCAAGGGGCTGGTTCTCTGACAGCAAACATCTCATCTCCTCTCTTAGGGGGGCAAGGCTGGCTGTGGGGAGGCTGCAGCGATAACGTGGGCTTTGGGGAAGCCATTTCCAAGCAGTTTGTGGATGCCTTGGAGACTGGACAAGATGCCAGAGCTGCTATGAACCTGCATAACAATGAGGCGGGTAGAAAGGTGAGTTCTTCTCTCCCTCCAGACCTGACAGTGCATACCAGATTGGCTCTGGCCATCCACCTTGAAGAATTACAATTTGCTGTAGCTAAAAAACACATGTCCAGAAGAAACAACTTCTGGGAGGATGGCAGCAGGACAATGTGATGTGTGGTGTTTGCTCTAAGGTAGCAAAGCTTTCTGATTACAGTGATAATGGTTTCCTGCAGTCCTCTTTCTCCCAGTTCAAGGAGGAGAGTACTGTGGAGAAGCAAATCTATGAGTTTCAGGACTACAGCGCAGGGAGGGTTGATGGCAAACTCCTCCACAGGCCTGGAGCCATGTTTCTGCATGCACTGCGGTATAGAAACAACCCTCTGGGCTTTTTCTTGAATTCCCTCTTTCTGCTCACTCTGTAGGCAGTGAAAGGGACCATGAAGCGAACTTGCAAGTGCCACGGTGTGTCAGGGAGCTGCACCACCCAGACCTGCTGGCTGCAGTTGCCCGAGTTTCGGGAGGTGGGAACTTACCTCAAGGAGAGGTACCACAAAGCCCTGAAGGTAGACTTGCTGCAGGGGGCAGGGAACAGCGCTGCCAGCCGGGGTGCCATCGCTGAGACCTTCAGCTCCATCTCCAAGAAGGAACTGGTCCATTTAGAAGACTCTCCTGACTACTGTCTGGAGAACAAGACACTGGGGCTGCTGGGCACAGAGGGCAGGGAGTGCCTGAAGAGGGGCAAGGCACTCAGCAAGTGGGAGAAGCGGAGCTGCCGGCGGCTGTGTGGGGACTGCGGGCTGGCAGTGGAGGAGAGACGAGCTGAGATGGTGTCCAGCTGCAACTGCAAGTTCCACTGGTGCTGCGCCGTGCGGTGCGAGCAGTGCCGCAAACGGGTCACCAAGTACTTCTGTGTCCGCAAGGAGAAGCGGGAGCGGAGTGGAGGTGGCGGGGCCAGCCGCAAGCTCAAGAGAAGGCTCTGACTTGCTTCCATGGTCCTGCCTGCCCCTCTCCTCTCCTGCCCTCCCCATCAGCCCCCGGCACCATTTCCGTTTGGCATAGTTTTGTCTCATTCCCACTGCTGCCTCATGGGGGATTGGGCAAGGAAAAAGAGCGTTGTATGAGTCCCCAGGTCTTGACCACACAGGGCATTAGTGCAGTGGGTGACGACTTCTGGGGATACCTTCAAGTGTTGAAAAAACGAGGTGAGATTTGGTCCCTTCAACTCAGAGTCACTCTATCCAGTGTTTCTATCTGGTTTTGTCTCTGAAAACACAGTGGGTGTCTTGGTGGCTCCTGTGCTTTTGAGTTTGTTTGTTTGTTCCCCAAAAAAGCACCAACTCTGGGCTTTTGAGCGAGATCAACACTTAGGAAAGTACGAGGAAATTGACATGACACCAACGGAGTTGGGCAACTCAGAGCAGTAATCCCTAAATAAGAAGAGGCTTTTAGTACCCTAGAAAAATAAAGGCACTAAAATAAAGTTGTTATTGCCTAAGCCCTACACTATGAGGGAACAGAAAAGCTATGCAACTCCTTCTTGCAGAAAGCCAGCATCCAAGAGGCCCACAGCATCACTTCCCATCCTTTGACAGCTTTGGTAACCTCTCCAGTGCTTTACTTTGCATTTGAAATGGCAGCAGCAAGATTGAAGCTACTGCTTGGCCTGCCCATTAAACAGCTGTTCAAAAAAGGGGTCCCATCACTCGGCTTTTACATGCTTTCTCTGTGTCTTCCAAGCCTTCAGGTCTGGTCTCCCTCTTCACTCCAGCATTCCTGCCAAAGCCCCTGATTGATGCCACAAAGATGCCCTCACACTTATTTCTCCTGTCCCTTTTGCCTCCCAAGTCTCTCCCAGAGGAGTTGCCAGCTGAGCCCGCTCCCCATCTCCTGGTGTACTTGCCAAGTACTCTTATCCTGTCAGCTAACTAACTAAATACTTCCTTGTAGTCTGAGAAAATAATGTCAGTTACTATTTAATGGTGGTGTAAATAGGAAAGTGAAGCACTTTGAAGTTTAATTTATTGCACAGTTACTGTGATGTACACATAACAGTTTTTCCTCTACTACTTATTGTATATATTCTATAGGCTAAGCAAGCAGCAGGAAGATTTGGTTGATGCGTCTCTGTTCCCTTGCTGTGGTTGGGATAGGGAGGTAAGAAACTGCCAGCTGCAGCACCTGGGGAAGCTCACTGTACCATCACAGCGATCTTCCCTGGGGCTGCAATGTTATGTCTTTGCTGTTTGAAGTGTCCTTTAGCCATATGAGAAGCCAGCAGAGCTAAGTTACTGGCCGTTAGACCTGTCTTGTAGCCAATATTTGTAAACCAATAGCCAATGCAATAAATCAGTAGCCAAGTGCTTGCAAAATGCTTGTGTCTAAGTAGTTGGGTGTTCTTTCATCCCATTGCATCTGTGGGTGTTTGTAGTTTCAGTCCTGGAGACTAAAACCCATCTGCTTACCCATCTGTTGAGCCCAGGAAGACCTGACCAGGCCACTTCATGCAGCACAACCTTGGGTCCTACCAGGAGGGGAAAGGACACACTCTCTTCTCGATCTATGGGATGGGAGGGGGCAGGCAGGAGCCCAGTTGCCCACTTCATAGCTCAGATATCAGAGACACTCAATCTGTACGTGTCTCTTTGTTATCAAATAGCCCCTTCCTTCGTTATCAAAAACTTCATTGGGAGTGGGAATTTGGACCTAAGGCAAGCTGGGGTCTCACCAGAACAAGAGCATTCATTCAAGCAAGAATTTGGTCCTTCAAAAATTGCAAGAAACAATCTTGGCCCACTCAGGGAAAACTGAAACACTTCCACTTCACACACAAACCACCAGCTGCTTCTGCAGAGGTTTTTATTAATACAGTGACCCTGCCCTAGGTCTCTCTTGCATCTCTGTCAGCAGTTCCTCCATCTCCCCGTGGTGGAATTGCATCCTTGGGCAGGGGAGCAAAGAGGGGGCAAAAGCCTTTCGCCCAGCAGGGAAAGCTCCAACGCTGGCTAGCTTGAGGACTATGGCGAGGCAGAGAGGACAAAGGCAAGGCAGAGGAACAACTTCTACCCTCCTTTCCTTCTGTTCCTCCCTCCCATCCGTTCCACGGCCAGCTGGAAACACAGGAAAAGAAGACGTGGAAGCCGTTTCCCTTTTCCTCCCGCTCCTACCCTGTCTCTCCCCTGCTGACACTGCTGCCCCACGAGGGCCGTGGCACAGCCCGGGATGTGCCCGCTGGGCGCAGTGAGGGCTGTTGGCGAGGGGGACGTGTGGGGCACGGCCAGTGCGAGCCCCGTCGCCACACGCTGCTTCCGCTGGGGGAAAACGGCGACACCGCAGCTGCAAAATGTGCTGACCTCAGCAGCGGGTCCCCCCTCCCGGCGCAGGGAGCCCTTAGTGGTAAAGGCCCTGCTGCCATTGTGGGCAGGATTGGATGCTTCCATGTATTCATTTCGGTTTAATGAAGGCGCATTCCTCAGAGGAGAAATATTTACATTCAGCTTCCCAGGTGGTCACCTTCGCCCAGATGACACACAAACAGGCAGCCCCCCGCTCCCTTTTCCAATCCAAACCTCTTTAGAGGGCTCGGGAGGAGGGGAGAGAGGGGAGGGGGGCTGCTGGGGGAGCAGAATAGAGCAGGGAACAAAATGCTAATAAATCAGCCAGCCAGCCCTTTTCCCCTCCCCTCTGTGGAGTCAATGGAAAGTGTCATTTCACATGCTAATCCCCCTCCGATCTCTTTACAACACCTTTTCCGAAAAGTGTTTGGGAAAAGTCCTTGTGGCCCGTTTACAGCTCCCCGCCGCTTCAGATTCCTTCTTGTCTAAGGCCGCGGCCCCCGTGTGGGTCTCTCCCTCCAGCAGGGCTCCTTACAAAAAACATCTCAACAAAGACTTTGGAGTTCATCAGCCTCCCACTGAAATTCACAGCTGCTGAACAAACTAATCCCCTCTCTTGGCCTTTCTTCCTTTCAATGGGTTCTTGGCTTCAAAGACACTTTGGGAAAGGACTTTGTGGGGACTCACACTGCTCCCTCAATAGAAGTTAGTGCAAGCATTATCTTCAGAGCAAGTGGCTTTACAAACAAATACTGCCTAACAATCTCTGCCCCTCCAGCTCCCCCAAACACACACAAGCCTAGCCTGCAGACATGATGTTATCTGCGACAGGATTAGAGCTCTGTTCTCCGGGCTCAGGGATTCTTTCCTACTGCCTCCCACCGCCTCCCCCCCCAAATTCTTTGCCAACCCAAAAGCCTTCTCACCCAGCTGAAAATGGTTTCTCTAGTGCAGGGGTGCTGTGGTACCATGTGCCCACATGGGAGGGGGCAAAGCAGAGGGGCTGCTGCCCACAGATCAAAAGCTGTTACCAGCCAGCAGAGATAGTGCTATAAATGGAGGAGCACTTTCCAGCGGGGTATGTGTAACATACCACACCAGGGCCACAGAAGCAGGGCTTCTGCCACAAGCCTCTCCAACACTTTCAAGCAGGTCACCGCACTTCCCCTGCCTGTTTTCCCTACCAAGAGCTTCAGGGATGGTGCTTGTAGCGGTAAACCTGAGCAAAAGTGAGCAACAGTGGGACAAAGGGGCAGGTGGGAAGGACTTGCAGCAAAGGCAGGATAAACAGCCAGTCTCTGCACAAGTCCTGGGTAGCAGAAGCCGTGTGTGCTGGAGGGAACTAAAATCAAATGCATCTGAGAAATACATGGAAAAATCCGTGGTTTTTTCTCAGTGGTAGAAGTGGCCTGAGTTAAAAAGAGCAAGGGGCTGGACTGCACAGGGTACTACAACTGGATCAAGAAAGGCAGAATCTAAGAAATGCCAGGCTTGTTAAATGATCTCAGAAGGCTGGGATTTTCCTTATATACTCATTAAGCAAATGTATGCCACCTGGGCTACTTGTGTTATGATCCCTTCTGATCCTGCACAAGTATAACCTTTGAAAAATCAGCTTGCATCTCCCTGATGGGGGACAGTTCTTAGGCCAGGCTGCAAAAGCTCTTCAAGACTCCTTCACACCTCGTGTTTGCCTCTGCCAGCAGCAGAATTACAAAAGGCTGGTTTTCCTTGAATGCTCTGTCCCTGACTCTCATAAATCCCGGTCCCTTCCCAGCAACAAATCTTCACCATCCAGTCTTTCTGAGCCTTTGCTTCCTCCTAAGTCCTCCAATCTCAGGCCAGGTAATATAGTCCTGCATATTTCAGAGTTTCATGTGTTCTGTCTGGTAGGCCTGTATATATACCAGCTAGCTGACAGCAAAAACAAACAAACAAAAAATTGAGATTACATCAGAATTACTTTCTTTTATCTGAAGCTAGTTTGATTCCCCCTGACTTTATCTCAGTTCCAATGTTTCACTTCAGCCTTCTCACCTCCTTAAAAGCTTAAATGAAATCAGCTAATAGATTTGTAAGTTATTAACTAATGGTAAGAACTGACAATTCAATGGTATAAATTTCCTCACAGGTCCAATACTCATCCTTGTTTAAGCTGCATGGCTTCAGTGGTGTAACATTTATTTGCAACAGGAGAGAATCTCATCAAGGGCTCTTTGTTTATTTACTGACATACTTCCAACTCCTGGTGTCAAGTGTGAAATCCCCAACACTGCTGTGATTCCCCAAGAGAACATCAGCCAGTCTGGGGGCCTTCTTGTGTTTGATGCAGATGAACAGTCACAATTGAGGCAGGTGATCTGGAGAAGATCAGTTCTCTGACCTTGCAGTGTTAGGGAGTAGGTAAGACCCGAGGTCTCACCACAACAGGATGGATGCTGCCCACATCAGCAGAGCCCAGAATCTGGTTTGCCCCCACACAGTTCTCAACTGCCCCTTCACCAAAGCTGAGAACTCAGCTCTCAGTGGGTGGTATGAGACTGAGGAAGTTCCCTGCAGCCAGAGGTGACAAGTTTAAGAAAAAAAGTATCACAAAACACAGCTTTTATTTCACTGTTCTGTAATCTCTCAGTGCATCAAACCGCAGCAATAGAAACAACACAGCAGCAACAAGGAGGCACTTTGACCTGGGAAGGAGAGAATGAGACATGTCCTCTTCCTCCTTTCTCTGATTCTCCTCCTTACTAAGTCTCCTGGTAGAGTAGGCTGATTCGTGTACTGAACCACAGGCCCATGATAGCATTATCACTCAAGCAGCAAGAAGAGGAAGCAGGGGCTGGCTGCATCCCAATGT